AGAAGAAAAATATTATCATCGAAATTCAGATCATCAAGCTGTTTTGTAGTGGTCCACTAAATCCAATTCTTGGTGCTGGCAGTTACTGTCTTTATAATCCAGTCTAAAGACAGTAAAAATAGCTGAGGCGACAAAAGACATCCCTATCACACCCCTGTTTTTATTTTAAAAATAAGAACTCGAAATGTCATGTCTTTATATGTTGTCTTTACTGAGTAATAATGGGATTCCATAGTTCCCTATCAATTTCCAGAGAGATTTCCTATCAATACTGTCAAATGTTTTTTCATAGTCTATAAATCTAATGTAAAGTGGTGAGTTCAGTTCAGTGGTTTGCTCTATTATAATACGAAAACCTGCCTGTTCATCTTATAGCTTTTTATCCATAGCATCTTTTAATATTTCAAAAATAATTCTACATGATATTTTAGTTACTATAATTATGTGCTGAAAGGACAGTAAATGTACTCCTGTACTATTATTGAAATAAAATGAAACGTTTGGATAAATACTTTTAAAAAGAGAACATCTATAGAGTCATGGGAGGGCTACTCATGTCCCTTGAAAGTTTTCAAAGAAAAATTAAAAAAAAAAAAAAGAGAGAAAACAGGGTGAGGGGGGTGGGAGGCATCTCAACTTCTCGTACAAAATTAGCAGAAGGTTCAGCCCTCACCTTTCTCTCTTGAAAAGTCTGAGGTTCAGGGTGGCTGAGCTTCAGGCTTTGGCAGTTTTGTTCCGTATTAGTCCATTTCTATAATTTAAAGGAATACCGCTACAGTGATTTCTGAAGTGTAGAAAGTTGCAATCAGATCTAACAGGGTGGGCCCCAGCTAGTTATAAAAGGGTTCTAAAGAGTGTCTCTATCTATCTATCTATCTATCTATCTATCTATCTATCTATCTATCTATCTATCTATCTATCTATCTATCTATCTATCTATCTATCTATCTATCTATCTATCTATCTATCTATCTATCTATCTATCTATCTATCTATCTATCTATCTATCTATCTATCTATCTATCTATCTATCTATCTATCTATCTATCTATCTATCTATCTATCTATCTATCTATCTATCTATCTATCTATCTATCTATCTATCTATCTATCTATCTATCTATCTATCTATCTATCTATCTATCTATCTATCTATCTATCTATCTATCTATCTATCTATCTATCTATCTATCTATCTATCTATCTATCTATCTATCTATCTATCTATCTATCTATCTATCTACCTATCTATCTACCTACCTACCTACCTACCTACCTACCTACCTACCTACCTACCTACCTACCTACCTACCTACCTACCTATCTATCTATCTACCTACCTACCTACCTATCTATCTATCTATCTATCTATCTATCTATCTATCTATCTATCTATCTATCTATCTATCTATCTATCTATCTATCTATCTATCTATCTATCTATCTATCTATCTATCTATCTATCTATCTATCTATCTATCTATCTATCTATCTATCTATCTATCTATCTATCTATCTATCTATCTATCTATCTATCTATCTATCTATCTATCTATCTATCTATCTATCTATCTATCTATCTATCTATCTATCTATCTATCTATCTATCTATCTATCTATCTATCTATCTATCTATCTATCTATCTATCTATCTATCTATCTATCTATCTATCTATCTATCTATCTATCTATCTATCTATCTATCTATCTATCTATCTATCTATCTATCTATCTATCTATCTATCTATCTATCTATCTATCTATCTATCTATCTATCTATCTATCTATCTATCTATCTATCTATCTATCTATCTATCTATCTATCTATCTATCTATCTATCTATCTATCTATCTATCTATCTATCTATCTATCTATCTATCTATCTATCTATCTATCTATCTATCTATCTATCTATCTATCTATCTATCTATCTATCTATCTATCTATCTATCTATCTATTTATCTATCTATCTAACTATCTATCTATCTATCTATCTAAAAACAGTTATGTGCACCTTCTTGTTCTCTACAGAAATAATCAACTTCTTATGATATGTTATGTATGTAAATTTATATTCCAGGAAAAAGCAGAGATTGAATCATTCCTGGATGACAACACAGAAAACCTGCGCAGGCAAGGTAGGGCCAAGATATGCTCTTATTCGTAGCGTAGCGACATCTAAACACTCAGATCATTCAACTTTCTGAACTACTATAGTCACGTTTGTGTAATGTACCATTTTTAAAGCTAAAGGCCATTTAATCAAAACCGAAAAGAACAGTTTAAAATGATATTTTTGAAAAATGTCTTGTTATTACTGACCCCAAAAAAAGATATAAGTGCGTACGGGGTTGGGGGGGGGGGGGGGGGGGGGGGTTTTGACAGTAGGATGGAAGGGCACATTCTAATTATCTCGGGTTGGTGCTGAGGAGGTCAGTCCCAACTGTGAGGTGTCAAGTATCGTAACCAGGCAGAGGCAGTTGGGCGAAGAGTGTTTAAAGGTGTGAAAAGTTGACCCACTTCAGGATAATAATCACGGAAGTTACCCCATTCCGTTTGCCTCCGTGATTTTGGGGTCGTTCCCACTGGCTGTCCAAATTTCTTATAGTGTTAGGTGGTGTCTTTCTATGCACAGCGAGCCGAAAAATGAGCGTGGTTCGTTCGACGAGGTCGGCATACTTTCGCATAGGCGCAGCTGCACAGCTTTCTTTTTGATGTTGTCTGTTGTGTGAACGAGTATCATTTCTGTTGAGAGAAGGCCAGACGCCGCCTGCGAGTGAGTGACTTTTAAACTTACCATAAACGCACAACCAGCGATTAACACCCGGAGGCACAAATTGACATATTTCAGATGCGTATCCTACAGGCGTGAGTCACATAACTCCATTCAACCGTAAGAATACAACAACCGACGACGGTTACGAACTGACCTGTAGTTCGGCCGGGGTGGAGATTTAAATTAACTAATATATCACTATTATTATTGTTATTAATATTGTTATATTTATTATTATTAAAATTTGTAACTACATCCTCTTTATGTCGGCCTATGTGACCTAGGCGTTGCCAACGCGCTACGTTATGCCGGGGTGTCGGGTTCGATCCCAGCTGCGGGCGTTGCGCCTTGTGTTGGTTTCGATAGTGGTATCGAGAAGCCGACCGTCCAGGAACAATGGCAAACTACTAGACGTAAATGTGCCTAGAAAAACTATAACAGCAACAAAAAAACAAAAAACAGAGGGGCTATTTCAGCAATGTCCTGTTAAGGATACGCAAATAACCTTTCTGATGTGCCGCTGTGGTTCAGAGGCTAGACGCTCGTCTGCGAATCGGAAGATCGTGTGTTCGGATTCTGACAGAGTCTGGACTTTTTTTTGCAAAATGACCTTGGCTCACCATGTCGACCCAGCCTTGAGTGGGTACCATGTCCAGTCCTAGGATGTAAAGGCGGCAGGCAGGATGCGTTCATATTGCCCTCCCCCCCCTCCCACCCCTAAGTGCCGTTTAGTATATAATATGTACGTCTAGCCCTATAAACAAAATACGCCTGAATTTGCGGAAAAGGGTCCTTTACTTTACTTTATGTTTCCTTTAGATTAGGTTTTGTGAATTATAGAAACCCGTACAACCGTATGGCTATACGGCACGGTTATATTATGGCACCATGCAAAGGTTACCAATAAACCTGTAGTCCAGTGTGTGGTGGGTAAGGTATTATTATGATGCACAGTAAGTGGCGACAGCACAAGTAATGCGACACCGAATACTCAGACCTAACCTTCCTCATCCCCCACCCCCTTTCTCCCCGCGGGAGTGACCATGGGATCTAGCCATACTTTGCAGTCAAGGAAAGGATGAGACAGAAATATAAACCGACTGATGCTTGTATCACTGGCATTGGAACACTTAGCTGGCTGCTGAAGATGCGGAAGGAGTGGGTATGGGAATGTCACAAGTGCAATGAAAACGGTCCTTAAACTCCGCTCAATAATAGAAATTAGTGAAAGGCACCATTTTTTTAAATTTTTTAATTTTTTTTTTTTTTTTTACATTTTTTTAAATACGTTTTTTTTTTTTTTTTTAAGACTTCATGAGACAGCCAAGTTGAACAACCCAGCTGTTTTGAAAAAAGCGAGAATTTGTTGACAACTTATCCAAGACATCCGGAAGAGACAGTCCTCATTCATTTAATCACATTATGAGAAGATGGAAACTGGAACACGTGGTGACCATTGGACAGATGTGTGGGAAAAGAGAAAGTGGGATACAACGAGAAACGAATATTGTCCCGCCCTCCGCCCCCATAACAATCCACCCCCACCCTGCCACATTTACACTTATCTAACAGTTCTCTCGCTTGGCCATCGGTTGCTTTTTAAATGCCTGCCTTATCCGGTTTGATTGTGTGACTTAAGAGTTACGATTGAGTTTTGGAATTTCGAATTACAGCTGTAGGCGCTGTGGCAGTAGACCACTATGTGCTCACTAGAACAATGGTATGCAGAGCCATCTGTTTAGTAGCAATGGCAAACTATTGAAACGTTAACGTACCCTATAAACCAAACAGCCATAATTATACACGGGTTGATTCTGCAACTCCCGGTACATCATATTCTACTAATTGTACTGATTACTATCGTTTTAACCAGTGGGAAATTTTATGTTCATAAATTAGTTGGTAAACTCTCCGTGTAGGCTCCAGGGCCCCATTGTGGTAAAAACAAGAATCAATCTACTGCTTTTCCTGATGAGCTTGTAGTAAGAGTCGACTAACTGGGGGCTACCTTCAAAGTCGGAGTACTTCTGCCTGAGACGCAAGGAACCAACAGTCTGCATACAATTAGGTCAGATTTGTTAAAAGTCCAGAGGCTGACATACAACCTCCTAAAGAAGATTCATAAAGGTACTAAGCACCTAACTCCGTCATTGTTTTGCATGAGACGGTGAGTTCAAATTTAAAAAAATGGGCCTAACTCTAGTTTCAGTTGTTCATTGCAGATGTCCAACTTTGTGGTCGCAAGCCCACACTTATATCAAAACGTCGTGCCTTAAATGAGGGATTTAATGACGTTGGAGATTCGGATCCACTAGACAAGATTATCGGTGGGTCCTATGCCACATACGGTGAAATTCCCTGGCAGGTGAACATCTATGCTAACGGGACGCACAGGTGTGGAGGTGCCATTATAAACGCTTTTTGGGTCCTCACCACTGCTATGTGTGTTTTGTAAGTACGTAGTAAAATGCATTTAATTCAAAGGATACTTATACATACGCACCAACACATGCGCACAAACATACATGCCCGCATGCACACACACACACAGCGCGCTGTGTTGTTTGACACTGTAAATGTATTGTGTATTCTCATCCCTGCTTTTTTTTTTGTGTGTGCTCAATTTAAAACAGAACAATATTTTTCGCAAAAGAAACACACGCCAAATACGCAACGAAATGGGAAATAAGAGGATTAGCGAACGAAGACGTCCAAACAAAACCCAGAGACTGAAGTTGTTGAGACAGGCTATGGGTTTTAGACCGGAATCCCTCCATGATATCCAAAAGATCTCATTGGAGGGAACTGAATGGAGAGCTAGACCACAAGCCCCATGTGACGTATAATGAAACAACAAGAACAAATTCTTCTTCGCCTCACGGACTGAAGACTCTGTCTGAAAGTTCTGATAGTTCGTCCACCTCTAGATTTTAATCTTATTCTATAAAGTGAGTGTGGCACGCGCATCTGTCCTGCAGATCTGACTTATTTGTATGCAGATTGTTGCTTCCTTGCTTCTATGGAAAATTCGATCCGGCTTGGAAGGAAACTTTCACTTAGTTACTTTTACGACATGTTTGATGGGGAGGCAGTGGGTCTAATCTTGTTTTCCTCACTATGGAGCCCTGTTTTATCAAGATGATTGAATGTCTCTGTGTGGTGTGGGTGTCTATTTGTGTGTGCATATGTGTGTGTGTGTGTGTGTGTGTTTTGTGAGTGTGTGTGTGTGTTTGTGTGTGGATTATTGTATAAGACTAGTTTCTCTGATATTTGCAAATAATTGTTTGTGTATCTCAACTTCCTTCCAATATTTATATTTTTGTCGTCTTACTGTTGGTGATGTTTTCAATTTCTGAAGCAGGAGCATCTTCATGCATCAGGCCCTTGGCAGAACATCGTTCTCTTCGCTGCCTGCCTGAAGACATTCGGTCTTTCGTCAGCTCTCCCGCCTCATGAACGTTCCTACCAAAGGTATCACTGATGTCCCGCGTCCCTCTTCGTGCTAGTCGACCCCTGCCCCTCTTTCCTGTCATTATGATTTTTTTTTTTTTTTACTTTTCTGTCCAATTTACCGTGGCCAACATATTTCAGTTTCAGAGACACGACGTTGATGCTAGCCAATCTTTGGTGATCTTCATGTCTGTTAGGGTATGAATATTTCTATTCTCCTTGGGTCGTGGTATTTTGATAATATACTGCAGCATTTCATTTTAAAAAAAAAACATTTTTTTTTTTAGCATATGACTATACTTTCTACTTTAAGGACAGCGAGATAGCGCACGACTCACATCTGTATGTTGCTAAAAGGAATATGCATGCAATAAAAACCAGACCTTGATCTCCTTGCCGGTGTTTACCCACCGATTTTTAATGCTGTTTTATCTTTGCAATTTTATGACCTTCCTCCTTTTGACTTCTGTTGAACAATCTCCATTGTTAATGTAGACTAGCTACACGTTAGTTTTGTTTGTGCACGTGGTGAGACACGATTCGATTGCAAGGGATATTCTTTAAAGAACAGTCGTGAGTCGTTAAAGTCAAAAATTAGCAAAAAAGGACCTAGAATAGCAAAATCAATAAATGGATAGGACTAAATTATGATACACGTGTTCAACAAGCGAAAGACAGAGGAATATGGCTGGTTTTATATGTTATAGTTCGTTCAACATCTCATGATCACGCTTGCAAGCCATTTTCTCGAAAACCGCCTGTTAGATCGCAACGATTTTTAGCAAGCAGCCTTAGAATATCCATGACGCTAAAATAGTGGTATTCTTTAGTCCATAGATACTCGGGACGCCGAATTCTAGTTTATTCCTTTGATCTTTTCGAACAATTGTAAATAAGTAGAGTGAACTTTTAGATTTTACAGTAAAAATCTGAATTTGTTTTGTGTGTCACAGACGTGTCTTCATAATACATTGAAAGGTGAAGTAAATTTGTGTGTTGTCATTTATGTTCAACTGAGCTGAGTTGAGTTGAGTCAAGAAAGACATCACAGCACTCAGGGCATTCCCATTTACGCTCCGTCCCCATCTTCACCAGCTAGCGCAGAGTTCCAATACTAATGGTATCGGACGCAGTCTGTTTACATGTCCACCTTGCCATTCCTCTCAGTGTAGGGTGCCGGCTAGGCCCTGTGGTCACACCAAGGTGTATCATTCTCTCCAGGCCATGATAATCTTTTTCTCTTTTACTTGTTTCCATAGGGCTTTGACCACATCTGTCTTGTCATGTATCAACTTACTACCCAGTGAGTTCCGATCCAGCCAATCTGTCTGCCTTGTTCAATTGTAAACATATCCCTAATATGCAACAGTTAGTATTCAACTTCAGTCACTGTGGCGGGTAAATTCGCTGTAATCTAGCGAATGGATTATGTGCAATCTACAGGGGGAATCACAAACTGTGAATTATCATACAAGATTATATTTCTTCCAGCCTTGCTGATTAAATGAGAGGGTTCGGGGTTTGCCCACATCTTATTCCCTACTGTTTTATAAATGGTATACTTAAATGCACTAAAATATACTGCCTATTGTTCACTGAAACAAATGACTAGTTAAAATAAACTCCATAAAACTGGAAGGACAATTAAATCAATCATGTTTTGAAACTGGAAAAGTCAAACTAATAATTAGACTTGCTGTGGAGATACAAAACTGGTCCCTGATTATGGATGGGGATAGTAGACAAATCTGTCCACTTAGCTGTAGCTCGTGTTACTCTGGTCAGCTTATATCTCAGCTTCGAAGACACGTCAGGCAGGTCGAATCTTTTAGTCCAGTCTAGACTATCGGGCATCTGCAGCTATGCTGGAATTTACTTCTGGAATTTCCACCTGGAACTACCACCTGGAACTAGAAAAATATAACAGTCCCTGTACAAGCAGGTTGGAAAGTTCTTACTCCAGTCAATATGTACAGTTACACTACACACAAATATGGAGTAGGGTAATCACAAGTGTTCACAATAGGCATGTATACAGAACATCAGTTTCATGAATACTCTCCAGCACAATAGTTTGCTACAGACAATAAGAAAGAACATTCATGTGTATGTAATGTTCTGATCTCTTTAAACTAGTACTCATTATAGGGGTTAACTTGCTTACTCACACAGTCACATTTTAAAATAGATTCTCATTTCAACCACTTGGGTTCACATCACAAAGAATGAGAAACAGGGTGTGGGTTTACATGGGCCAGAAACTCATAAAAGGTGCGTTGCGCAGTTAGAACATAAAGTTAATTGGACATGTCCTAATCAATATAACTGGGTGCTGGGATAGATGTTAAAATACAATCATAGATTACAATGGGCTTCCCATATGTCACAGTAATAATATAACATATTCAACACTAACTCCAGTTTAAATCTGAACCCATACTAAATCTCAATCACTAGAGTTAGAAGTTGGAAAGGATGAAATGTAATTTTTAAAATTGTAATGCCACCTGCTGTGGTACTGAAAAAATACACTGGGTAATGTGGAAATATAATGTGGGCCAAACACCTGTTTTCTTCTTCTCCCACAGTGTGAATATAAAATTCAGCCACCATGTGGTATTCACTTGTCAAGCTCTTAAACTAGTCTCAGAATTCTCTAGGCAAAATCTAAATTAAATCAAGACAGTGATTTATCAAGCTAATATCACCATGAAGTCAAATCAACCTAGTAAGGATTTGGCATAATGAATATACACTTCATTTCTTCAATAATATTTTCACTATGCTGGAAATCGGAACTGGCCAAGATTTCACATGAAGACATAAATTCTCACTTAATTAATATAATTATATATAATTCAAAATACCAGTTCATGTTTCAAGTATCAAATAAACAATATTTCAATCATCAAATAGATCAAATGTTTAGATTCCTGTATATACTAGATAATAAATGGGGTTAGTTATAATGAAGAAATTCATCAAGGGTTCTCCCACCATGCAGGCATCAAATTTCATAGAGTTTAGCAGATAAAATTATTTTAGAGGAATAGCAGCAATATATCAAATTACAAAATTACTATTCACTCACCCCTGGTAGGAAATTCAGTGCTTGCTTTAAAAAAGAAGTAGGAGGTCCTAAAAAGGGGAAGGAACTCTTATTTAATTCTTTTCCTCTGTTCATTCGTTTTCAAACTTTTTAAATAATAATATTGCTATAATGAAGCAATAAGTAAAAGGTGAGAAAATTGATAATAGTGCTAAAACAAAGCAATACTTGAAAGGGAAGAAACAGCTGTCCAGACCAGCTCGTCACAGTCACCATTTACCCCACGGTGTCTGTTAAATTCGCAGCAAATTGTGCTATGGTTGACACATTTTGATATGGAGATGTATATGATGCAGTTGCAGATGTACCTAACAGGTTGATGATATTTAACCACTCATTTAAAAAAAAAATGGTTCTAATCATTTCCGAATCTGACGAAGCAAAAAAAGTTGATAACTGTTACTGGCTTTACAAATGTGCAATCTATTTTGGGGCCAGTACTCGTCTTCCTCTCAGAACACACATCAACACACTTTTTCCAGAAATGATTGTCTATTTTTAAGAAGGATTCACGTGTCAGAACTTCAAAATCACACATGTTAAATGTACTGTTCTTTTAGCAACTTGTCTTTTGACTTTAGCCTAAACAAGCCCTATTGGGTTCAGGTGTGAAGGATATGCAGGGAGTCGCAGAGAAATATGACTGTATTTATGTTTGATTTTGTCAATGTAATACACCTTTGTCTTTTTTTTTATTTTCTTTACGAGCTGCAACAAATTTGTCTTTAAAAAAGGTATCGTCAAAGCTGACATTTTCATTAGCACACAATATCCTAATTTGATCTTTTGTATTTGATATCGTTGATACTTTGTCTTCCTCTGATACCTCATTATTATGGGTGGCACTATCGAATAATAGGCATGATAGTCTGTCCAGAATAGGAAGAAGATCATGGTCCATCCAGTGCCAGCAAATGTGTCCATTCATTTCAGTGTGGTAGGCCCTACCATCCGTACTTTTTCGTTGGAAAACAAGTCCAGCATCATCAATACAGCCTTTTTTCACAGCTTCCTGCATAAATGAGTATAAATCGCTTTTCATTGCTTATTGAAATGTTTTTTTGCTATTCACCGTTTACTGGTTGCAATTCTTTAACATAGGTATAGTGGGAATTTACCCAGGATTCATCCAATTATATAATATCATAGTCTTGCATCCATCGCTTACGGATCTGCCTCAGGTATTTGCTTCGACTAGTAATCAAGTGTGACTTATCACAAATAATATTCCTTCTACCTGCAGTTTTTGTGAAAGTGAACCCGGTGGCAATTACAATTATCCACAGACTCTTTTTCGCATTTTAATTTCAATGTTAATTTCAGTTTTCGCAGAGTAACAAGTTGGTTTGTCTCTAACATTTTTAAGATCTCACGTCTAATTAAATCTACATCAAAGTCGTCAACGTTTATTTTCTTTCCTTGCTTGAAATGAGTGTACTCTGTGTCCTGTCTAATCCAACGGTTAAAATGATGCTCTATCCAGACCACGTGCTAATCGTGTTTGTTTCTCTGGGTCAGCATATGACAATATAAATAACACATCTTAGATTCCTTGAGGAAATTGTGGTACAGTAAAACGGTAACTTCCTGGATAGTTACAAAAATGCATCTCAAATTCATTTTGAAATTGATTGCTATGTCAGCTTTTATAGGCTAGCTATATGACGCAATAGTCTTTCCTCTTGTGTCGAGTGCGGCACATAGGGCAGAGGTCGTGACTCTCCATGCACGGCGGTCCGTTGCAATCCGTTGTAGGTCTTGGATGTTTGAGTGGCCCATGAGCGAGCCTTCCCTGATGATAGTTCTACGTAGGGTTTCCCTTGGTCTTCCACGAGATCTTTTCCCCTGTGGTGTCCAAATGAGGGCTTGGTAAGGAAGTCTTGATTTATCCATTCTAAGGACGTGGCCGACATAGTTCCAGCGGCGTTTTCGTATAAAATTAGACACATACTCTTGCCTGGATTCTTGCCTTATTTGTGTATTGGTTCGGAAATCTGACCATTTGAAATTTAGTATTCTTCTAAGGCATTTATTTTCAAAACTGTCTAATTTTGTGTCTAGAGTTTTCGTTGATTTCCAACTCTCGCATCCATAGGTTAGTACTGGAATCACACAAGAATTGAAGATCTTGAGTTTTGTGTGTTTGCTAAGTGTCTTTGATTTCCAGATGTTAGACAGTTTATTGAAGGCACTAGATGCCAGTGCTATTCTAAATGATATTTCTGGTGCGGTATCTCCTGTAGATGACATCTTGCTCCCTAGATAAGTGAAACTGTTGACTTTTTCAAGGCTGTTGTTGTTCAGCGTGATATCAACTGAACTGTTGGTAAGGTCTAGAATTTTTGTTTTTGCGGTGTTAATTTGGAGTCCAATTTGTTCTGAGAAATTCTGGAGTCGATTGATTTTTTCTTGGGCGTCTGTGTGTGTTCTGAACTCAGGAGTGCTATGTCGTCAGCGAAGTCTAGGTCTTCCAGAATTTTGTCAACCCATGTAATGCCTAAATTTGCGTTATTTATGCACTTGCGCATGACCCAGTCGATTGCTATACCAAAAAAGCATCGGCGATAGGACACAGCCTTGCTTCACTCCTGTTTCCACCGGGAACCAGTCAGAATTGCCGGAATCAGTTCTTACACAGCATCGTGTTTCATTATAAAAAGATTTTATGATGTTGATATATTTGATGGGGAAACCATAGATGTTAAGCAATTTCCAGAGTGTTGGACGATGGATACTGTCGAAGGCTTTTTGAAAGTCGACAAAGTTGATCAATAATTTCGACTGGAATTCTGTAGAATCTTCAACAATTATTCTAAGAGTAAAGATGTGGTCTATGCATGACCGCTTGGATCTAAAACCGGCTTGTTCTTCCCTTAATCTTTCATCTATGGATTTTTTCAATCTTTCTAGTAGCATACTACAAAATAGTTTCCCTGGTATCGAAAGCAGGGTGATGCCTCTCCAGTTGTTACAATCGGATAAATCACCTTTTTTAGGTAATTTGAAGATTACACCATCTTTCCATTGTTGTGGTGGGTATTCGTTTTGCCAGACTTCATCCATCAGCTGGAGCAAATGTTGCAGGGTGTTTTCATCACTAATACTCAACACTAATTTGTGCATGAGCCTTGTACTAAACAACAATGACCAAAGTCTTGTTTCAGCGTCAGGTTACTAAGAGTACTACTTTGCTCGAGAAAATGATGAAATTACATAGGGGATTCTTAGACCCACTGTTAAACCAGTCATATTGTGCAATTTTTCCTGAAACTAATAAAAGTAAACCTTCTACCAATACAGTTTCATGATACAAATATATATCCATAGGAAGAAAAAAAAACATATTACATTCTTCTTTAGTGAACAAAAAATGTTCCTTAACGTCATATAAAATCTAAGGCTGCATGCTGAAAATCGTTGCAATCCATGAGGCAGTTTTCGAGAAAATAGCCTGAAAGTGTGATCATGAGATGTAGAACGAACTATAGTGCTTCCCATCCACACACTTCTATAGCCCTAAGTAGTCAAGACTTGAACTTGTATGTTATTGCAATATTTTTTTAGGGGGGGAGGGGGGGGGAATATAAACCAAGATATTTAGAATTAGTGACATTATGTATGTATGTATGTATGTATGTATGTATGTATGTATGTATGTATGTATGTATGTATGTATGTATGTATGTATGTATGTATGTATGTATGTATGTATGTATGTATGTATGTATGTATGTATGTATGTATGTATGTATGTATGTATGTATGTATGTATGTATGTATGTATGTATGTATGTATGTATGTATGTATGTATGTATGTATGTACGTACGTACGTACGTACGTACGTACGTACGTACGTACGTACGTACGTACGTACGTACGTACGTACGTAAGTATGTATGTATGTATGTATGTATGTATGTATGTATGTATGTATGTATGTATGTATGTATGTATGTATGTATGTATGTATGTATGTATGTATGTATGTATGTATGTATGTATGTATGTATGTATGTATGTATGTATGTATGTATGTATGTATGTATGTATGTATGTATGTATGTATGTATGTATGTATGTATGTATGTATGTATGTATGTATGTATGTATGTATGTATGTATGTATGTATGTATGTATGTATGTATGTATGTATGTATGTATGTATGTATGTATGCATGTGTGTATGTGTGCGTGTGTGTGTGTGTGTGTGTGTGCGTGCGTGCGTGTGTGTGTTTTTATGTATGTATGTAGTATGTATGTATGTATGTATGTATGTATGTATGTATGTATGTATGTATGTATGTATGTATGTATGTATGTATGTATGTATGTATGTATGTATGTATGTATGTATGTATGTATGTATGTATGTATGTATGTATGTATGTATGTATGTATGTATGTATGTATGTATGTATGTATGTATGTATGTATGTATGTATGTATGTATGTATGTATGTATGCATGTATGTATGTGTGTGTTTATATATACACATGCGAAAATTAAACTCTTAGTCCCAGATACACAGGAACGATCACTTTGGTATTAGGCGACCATCTAATGTCTCGAGATGAGCAAGGTCAGCAGACATTTCAAGTGGAACATGTTTATATTCACGATGGATTTGGTGAGTTCCCTGTAACTATAAATACATGTGGAATACTTGAAACGAATAGATAATATTGGTTGTAAGTACTTAGCTAATCATAGTTCTATCGAAAAGTTAAAAGAATAATGTTAAAAATGTATATACCAGCAAAGCTGCTAATAGTAAGTCATAAAAAAGTGAAGAACTCGTTGCTCCGAGTTTCAGTCTGAAAGCTGCATTAAATGACCTTTAAAAGCGTGGACTATAATGCCAGGAGAGTTTCAGTGTTGTGTGGTTCAGTCAGACAAATACGAATAGGATTCACTAAATAATTTTGACGTCTCTCGCATCTTTTGTTGACGGGAGGTATGTAGTTCTTTTACTGCACACTTATGACATACACCCTGTTGAGCTGTTGTCTGTTCAATAAAGAACATACCATCATAAGTAATGCCTACTTTGATCTATTGTTGGAAGAATATGAACATTTCAGTTCATTTTGTAAACTACTTGAGCATTCTATTTATATCCACCCTCCATCATGTCCCTGACTTCTCTCCTAGCTGATTCATAACTCTAATCCAAACCTGGATTTGGCGTTTTGGCTTTGATTACTTCATCCAGTACAATAGAAACACCATAATAACTAACCAGCCATGGAAAAGTAATAGAGTGTAATTACTAATATTTAGCCAAACCAGACTGAATAGGAGATTGATAGCGCGGTGCGGAAAAAGCCGAAAGAGTCTAGATGGCCGACTAGCCTCTTTTAAACTACAACTCACTATGGGACAGTATCTGTGTATTTATCCGCTTAAAACTTGACCAGCTACTTAGATGAGTATTATCTACTTAGAATAATTTGTTTACATATATATACATATATCATCATCATCATCCTTTAGCAGGTCCTTTGCTGGACGTCGCTCTCATCACAGTCTGGCTGAAAGAAACTCGGTCTCTCGCCAGTTCTCCCGCCCCATATATTTCCATACGCAACGGATCACTTATATCCTGTGCCCATCTTCGTGTCGGTCGGCCCCTGCCCCTCCTTCATGGTACTATGCTTCTGCTATAATTTTTTTCCCAGTCTGTTGTGGCGCTTGATATGACCAAAATTTTTCAGCTTTCGATAAAAGATGCTTTTAGTTAGCCAATCTTCCTTGATGTTCAGATTTTTAAGCTGTCAATATTTCTCCTCTTCTTTGTCCAAGATACTCTGAGAATCTTGCTATAGCATTTCAGCTCAAAAGCCCCTATTCTCTTTCTTAAGGACTGAGAGATAGTTCACGACTCACATCCGTGTGTAGCCACATGGAAGATGCATGCTTTTAAAATTCTAATTTTGTCTCCTTGCTGGTGATTAACCATAGTATTTTAAGGCTGTTCAATCTTTGTGTTGCTAATTCCATCCTCCTTTTAATTTATGTTGAACAGTCTCAATTGCTGTTTATTACAGAGCCTAGATATTCAAAGTTTGTGACATTTTCAATTTCTTTTTCATTTATTGTTTTTTTTGGGTGACAGTTTCATCTGTGGACATTATTTTCGCTTTCTTTAAATTCAAGAGCAGATTTTGAACTTCACTGTGCTTTTGGACTGACAATATTCAATTTTCTATTCCCTTTACGCTGTTCGAAAGGAGGACTGTGTCATCTGCGTAGCGGAGTTTCGGAATATGGTTGACTCCAATTTTGAACGGATAATAAATGTCACAAGTCTGGTCATTTTTGATATTTATCATTATATTTTCCGAGTATATATTGAATAGGTATGGTAACAGACAACACAGCACAGCATAAATGGCGGGACTGAGAATAAATACAAAGAAAACTAAGATCATGACAAACAGTCCAAACCAACAACCAGTGACCATAAGTAACCAATCACTTGAAAATGTAGAACATTTCACATATCTTAGCAGTGTGGTGTTCCTACTGGGAGGGACAGAAGAAGACATACAGTCACGCCTGAACAAAGCTAGAGCTGCCTTTGGAAGGATGAGCAAATTTGGAAATCCAACAGTTACTGTAGAGGAACAAAACTCCGACTCTACAAGAGCATTATTTTGCCAGTTTTTCTTTATGAAGCAGAATGCTAGAGAATGACCAGAAAGGATGTACACAAGCTGTCCACCTTCCACAACACATGTCTACGTAGAATTATCAAAATGTTCTGGCCAAATACGATCTCAAACACTAAACTACTTCAAGTCACTAGACAGTATGAAAACCAAGAGAAGATAGAAATGGCTTTGCCACGTTATGAGAATGAATTCTGATATACCTGCCAATACAGCTCTCACATGGATACCAGAGGGAAAGAGAAAAAAGGGGCGCCCAAAAGGCAACATGGAGACGAACGATTTAAAGTGACCTGAGTGCGGCATCTTTCACATGTAAAACTGCTTTAAAGATTGCACAGGACAGGAAAGCATGGAAAGTTCTCTCTGAAGCCTCATGTGCCACTAGGCATAACGAGAACTGATGATGGTGACAGAATGCACCCCTGCCCCACCCCTTTTGCACAGCGAACCAATCAGATGTTTCACCAGCTGCTCTGCGGCTGCTTGTTGTTCATTAAAACGATTTTCATTTAAATGCACTAAATTCGCTTGCAACCCCATATTTTTCATAACAGTCCACAGTTTTGTGGTTTTAGACACAACCAAATGCCTTGCTCTAATCAATAATACAAGTATGAAGATTTTCATTGTATACTCTACATTTTTCAAAAAATCATTCTCATATTAAATATGTGATCCCTACTTCCTCTACCATGTCTGAAACCAGCTTGTGCTTCATCTAGCTCATATTGTAATTTCCTTTCAATCCTTTTCAGGATAATTCGTAAGAGGATTTTGCTGGCATGACTTATTAATGCGATGGTACGGTAGTTGGAGCATAGTTTCATATTTCCTTTCTTTGGGAGAGTGATATAAACTGTTCTTGTCCACGCTTTAGGCCAAATGCCACTGTTCCAGCTCTTCGAGAGCAGTTCATGGTAGATTCGGACGCTGGCCTCTCCATCTGCTTGAATTAGTTCTGCTGGTATTTCGTAGCAACCTGGTGACTTTCCTTTCTTCAAGCTGTGTTTTGCCGATTGTACCTCATCCAGTAAAGGCTCTGGTTCTTTTTCATAACTTTCACAAATTGTTGTTGAATTACTTGTGACATCCTCATACATTTCCCTACAGTATTCTCTCCATATTTCTAATATGTCTTTGGATTCCCTTAATGTGTTACAGTTTTTATTACTTACTACATGAAAAGAAGGCTTGAATTCGCCTTTTAATGTTTTAATTTAATTAAATATTTCTCTGTCTCTTCCTTTCGTCTGGAGTTGTTTAATTCTATTACAGGTATTTATCATAAAAAGTTGTTGATCCCCTCTGATAGCTCTTCTGATTTCTTTCGTGTAGTTCCTATACGCATGGCTATTTTTCTGTCCCTACTTGCTTTAAATTTCTTCTTTCTTCTATCAGCTTGACAGTTTCTTCTGTAATGTAAATCTGTTTCTTGTGTTATTTTTTAGGAATCATGTTCTGAGCTGTTGTGATGATGATGTTTCTTGCTTCATCAGCCAACTCATCAGGTGTCATATCCTCCTGCACTGTCACTGGCGCCTCAAATTTGTTTTTAACCTCAAAGCTGTAATCATCTGGCAAATTTCTCAAATCAAAACGTATTGGCTTAGCCCCTTTCAACACTGTTTTCAGTTTTATTTTAAACTGTGTAACAAGAAGTTTGTGATCAGTGTCACAGTGAGCTCCAGGGAGTGTCTTTGCAGATGTTATACATATCCTCCATTTTTGGTGTAGTAAAATATAATCACTCTGCTTCCTGCAGTTTCCATTTGGTGAAGTCCACGTGTAGAACCTTCTTGTGTGTTGTTTAAATAGTGTGTTGGCAATACACATATTCTTTTCTATACAGAATTCGATCAGTCTCTCCCCACTCTCGTTTCTGTCTCCTATGCCAAATGGGTATTTGACTATTTCCTCTTCCTCTATTCTACCTCTGCCAATTTTTTTTATTAAAATCCCCCATTGTGATTATAATATCTCTTCTTCTTTTTTTTTAAACCCTTTCTAACGTCTCTTTTAAACTGACAAAAAAGTTTTGAATTCCATCTTCTTCTGATGCAGATGTTGGGGCATAGACTTGAATAATTGTGATGTTTCTCTTCCTTGACTTGAGTCTGACATTTAGAATTTGGTCGCTGATCGGATTACATCCAAGAAGTGATGACGAAACTGTTTTTGTCATCAGAAAACCCACCCCGCTCAAACCACTCTTTTCCTTTCCTGAATAAACAAATGTATCTCCTGTTTGAGTCACAAAATGGTCTTGAACCGCCCATCTATGTTAAAAAATTTCTAGTATATTTATTTTATCCCTTTCTAGTTCTCTGCCAACGATGCTAAGTTTTCCCTGATACATGCTCCTAACATTCTATCTTTCTAACTTTAAAGTTTGCTTTAGAGCGGTGACAGAGTTTTTTTGTTGTAGTACCGTCGGGCTTAAGGCCGTCAACACAACTACCCTTAATTGCTCTGCCATTGATCTCTTCCCCAGTTCGCGTTTGTGATTTGCCTGGCCTGGGGGCCTCACCATCATAACTTTGAGTTTCATTTTTGGCTTCCATAATGAGTTTCTTAGGATAGTAATGTAGTAGTTTCCCGTTGCATTCCACATCCATATGGCTTTGGACTTCGTCCTCAGCCTTCAGCAACCTTTTCGATTGCTAGGGTAAGTGAGTGCCCTGCTCTGTGATGCTCCTGCTAACAGCAGATGGCACCTCAGAGGTGTCCACTTATCCTGGCGGATACTTGGTTTCCATAGCCGTGTTGGTCACACCGCAGTGTGTTTACCGTCCTCTACCGCGGAGGTGCAGTTGGGGTTTTCCATTCACCGAGTCTTGAGACCAAAATGGCATTTTCCCAAACTCTCGAGTACTTTCAAAGGACATATATATATTGTTTATTTATTATAATTGATTTCGTAAAGCTGATATAAACTATTTGTGTTTTCTTACCCATTTTTTCTTACCTTCTCTATAATTTCCTACCCCTTTTAAAAACTCTTTTAACCTAGGACAATATCCAGAATTGGCACCTGAATTATTAGCGTGGTTAAAATGATGGGAAGAGTATGGATAAGCTGCATGTGACAGACAATATAATTGTGAACTATGCTTACGGGGGTTTCACTAAGATTTTAATCATGAAGACTGCATTCCCGGAAATGAAAACCGTAATAAAACATGTGTGTTGTCTTTTAAGCAGAAGGAACCCCTAGTTTTATTTTATCCTGTGAGCAGAATGGGGGAGCAAAACGTCTGTTTGCATCGTTCTGTAAGAAGAACGAACCACGCGCTTTTATCCCGTAAGCAGACTAGGGGAGCAATATGGTTGTTTGCATCGTCCTGTCAACAGATGGGACTACACGCTTTTATCCCGTGAGCAGAATGGGTGAGCAAAACGTCTGCTGGCGTCGTTCTTGTGGGCAGAAGGGACCACACGCTTTTATACCGTCAGCAGATTGGGGTGGGGAGGGGGGGCAATACGTCTGTTTTCACCGTCCTGTAAACAGATGGGACTATACGCTTTTATCCCTAAAGCAGATTTGGGGAGCAACACGTCTATTTGCATCGTCCTGTAAGCAGAAGGGGGAACAACTATTGTAATGTGTTGTATTTTGGGTAGGGGGAAAAAAAGGACATTGCATTTTAAGTTTCTTTATGGGCTCTTGAGACTCAGTGTGATGGGGGAAAAGACTAGACCCACGGCGCCGTAATAGACTTGTAAATGGCGATTAATTTAGTAATTTGTAGTTTATTGAAACGACATGTTTTGGGGCAAAGGGCGCAGACTTCATTGCTTAGTTGGAAAATGCAACATATAGTTTTTAACTGCCCCTTAGGGTGGAAAGTACAAGAATGGAGGATGAGGAAGAGGAGAAGACGAAGAAGAGGAGGAATAAGAAGAAGCAACAACAGCCACAGCAGCTGCAGCTGCATGAAGATGGGTTGAAGCGGAAGCCGACGAAGAAGAAGATTTTACATATGTACACGTTTTTCATTTATAATATTCTTACTTTTTGTGTTGTCTTAATTTGCAGCAGAAACGTTTCATAACGATACAGCGTTGTTGAAGATTGCGCCAATCAACGGCAATGGTATCCAGTTTAACGACTATGTTCAACCTGTGTGCCTTCCTGAGACGGGCGAGTTGCCTGCAATTAATGCGAGTCTAACACTTTCAGGATGGGGAGAAACTGAAACTTGTAAGAAAACATGAAATATCGGTTTTGTGTTTTACAATAGCTATGTTTAATTTGTTTTTTCCATTTTATTTTATTTTTCGTATATCTTTTTTTTTTTTTTTTTCAAACGCTTTCCCAATTTGTTTCGTAACATTTTTAAAAATATTTGATCCTTCTTCTTCACTTCCTCTTTTACTGCTGCCGATGTTGAGGGAGAAATAAGGTTCTTCTTCTTTTCCTTTTGGTAGCCTCTATCGTAGACATTTCTTGCTTTTGTAGTTTCTCTGATGTTATCTTTCCATGTTCTTCAAGGTATACCTCGTGTTCTACGCTCCTCCCCTCTTTGGTATGCCGTGTATGGTATGACGTCACAAGGCATTCTCTTCAAATGAGGAACTCATTTGATTTGCCGTCTGTGTATGTAATTTAGAATTGCCTCTTCTGACCATACTTGCAGCATTTCTCACATATCTTATTTCTAAAGTTAATAATTTAATAATGTCCCCTATTACGTATTTCTGGGAGTGGCTATGGTGGAGTGGATAGACGCTCGTCGCGGATCGGAAGGTGGTAGGTTCGCTTCCTAGCGGATTCAGACCTTTTTCAAAAATGACCTTGGCTTCCAAGTCGACTTAGCTTTGTGTGGATACCGGATGCAGTCCTGGCAAGTAAAGGCGGCAAGCGTGATGCTGACCACATCACCAATCTTCTGCTGATTGGTCTACAAAATATAGGTCTAGACCTATATTCTCTATACTCTTATGCGCGGGAAAAGGTCCTTTACTTACTTAATTACGTATTTCTGACACTGGTTCTTTAATAATTGCTCTATATTGTTTAATCAGCCCTCTAATGATTATTGAGTTGCATTTTGAACCTCATAGTATTTGCTAACATGTTCACAATATTTTTTTTTTCTTTTTGGACTATTTTATATTTGAAGATTCAATCAGGTCATCAGACGTGCTGAAAAAAATGGTGGTACCCTTCGTGGACTATGCCGAATGCAGTCGTATTTTCAATGATTCTCATGGTACCCAAGGCTTATTGTGTGCAGGAAGACCAGGTGGCAGCTCTGATATTTGTCTGACTGACATGGGTGGACCAGCCACCTTTAAGTCTGGAGGTAGTACATCACTGTTCATATTTTTTCTTCTTATAACCGGTTCAGCATTTACATGTCCTGTTAATTGCTGTTGGTAGTTAATATATATATATATATATATATATATATATATATATATATATATATATATATATATATATATATATATAATTAAAAATGTGTGTGTGTGTGTATGTTTGTATGTGTATTTATGTATATAAAGAAAGCATAGTTACTGAAAAAAAAGTAATCACAATTTTGACATGCTTATTGGTTTAGCCAACTACGCTAGAGAACCGGACAAATATATATATATATATATATATATCTGTGGGAGAGTGTATGTTTATATATTTGTGTGTGTGAATGACATTACACTCCTGGAACCCATAAATTATGTTGTTGCATGGCAGTTAATTAATGAGAATAAATGAAATGAAGTGTGTACCCCAGCAAGAACGTCATCAACACACATCATCTACCAAGCACATGATAAGAAAGTAACGGACAGGTCACATACCAGGAACGGGAAATAAATAGGTGACACGTAGATGATATTACAGACATCATTCATTCATTCAGTAGCATGACCCTCGCGGAACCTCGCTGCCATAACAACCCTCCGGAAAACCTTCCTATCCCTGTCTAAATCCAGCCTGAGCTACATTAATGTCTTCTTCCATTTTCTTATGCAGTCTTCTCATTATAATTTTTAGTAGAATTTTACTTGCATGACTGATCAGGGCAATAGTTCGATAGTTTGTACATAATTTCAGGTCACCCTTTTTTGGTATTGGAATGAAGATAGTTCTCTTCCAGTCTTTTGGCCAAATACCATATTTCCATATCTTTTCACATAATGCATGATAGATTTTTATGCTTTCTTCTCCTCCCGCTTTAATCAATTCAGCTGGTATCTCATCACATCCAGGTGATTTACCATTTTTCAGGCTCCTTATTGCCCATGAAATTTCATCTAATGAAGGTTCAGGTTCTGCCTCTACTGTTACTGGTTCATGTATATCATTCATATCCTCACTGTCATTCATATCATACATTCCGCTGCAGTATTCCTGCCATCTTCCTAGAATTTGTCTAGATTCTGTTAAAGTATTTCCCAACCTGTCACAAATAACATTTAACTGAGGTTGAAAATTTCTTGTCAATAACTTCATTTCCTTGAACATTTCGTAATCTCTTCCATTTTTATGATGCTGCTCTATTTTAATACAGCAATCTTGTACATACTGATTTTTATCCTTTTGTCGCGCGCCCACGTGGGTAAATACACTGATATAGTGAGGGTGTGGGTTTGAACCTTAACAATGCTCACCCACGTGAGAAACTGGACTATTATCTAAGCTATGTTGATCCTAGACAGTCCTGGATAGCCAAGAAAACAGCGAGTGGCTCGTTCCATGAAATGAAAGTTGCTGTACTTGTATCCACAGGAGAAGGAGAAGGGATAGATAGATATCAGGATACACCCACTGTGATATTATCTCGATACACAGTTAACCCCTGCGACTATTCTCCTCTCCTGGCATTACTTAAAAGCCACCATCAAGTGATTTAAATATTTGTTAGCTGAAGTAAACTACTATGCACAAAGACACTTGAACCTAAGTACACAATTTACTCAACTATCATGAAACTCATCACACATGATTTATTTGAATAAATCGAAATTAAAATGAACTTGTTTAGGCTAGTAGAGTTGGAATGATGTGAATGATGACAGTTTGTACATATACTTAACTCCTAGTAGGAGAATTAACCGTCAGGACAGTTCTCGGCTTGAGACCCTGCCTATCTTTTCCAGTTTGTCGTCCTCACTGCTTTCTGCAGGTCGTTACACTCGACGGTCGGCAAATAATGGATGCCTACTAGTCCCTGCCCAATGTGGGAACTGGAAAAATGAAACCACGATGCCAAAAGTTCTGTCTCAAGCCTAGGTTAAGCCCAACAGATGGCATGTGCTAGACAGGATCTCATTTACCAGACCTAGCGTTCACCACTTTATAACTTTTATCAAGCTCCTCCTACATTACGCCTAAAATCCTTTTCATTCACGGGTATCACAGCTCCTCCCCTGTGGGTAAGTTTATTCGCTGTCAGTCAGGGCTGTACAACACTTATTTAAATTCCCACGCTAGGATCTCCTGGTTCAATTAAGCTGGTCAAAGCTAATAGGCCAAGTCACACCTCTGGCTACTTCACCTGCCATCACAATAAAATCAGACGGTGTCAATTCTTCTGTTAACACTTTCTGCTCACCATGTCAATAGTGACCGTCGGACCTGCCGTCGAGTTAGGTAACCTCAGGGGGAATTAAACACAAATTAGCCGGAGTTAGCTGCTCCTAAAAGTCTGGCTAGGAGATGAAATATCTGACACCAACAGATGGTGTGCAAATCTCCAGTCAGTAAGTCTGCTTGGTCAGTCTTATCTCTGTACCTCAACACTTAACGTCTGGGAAAAAGTTTTAGTGTGTGATATCGCCAACATCCCAGGAGAATTAAATGCTTGTTCATTTCGCCTACTTAGATTAAGGATGTATCCAAATCCCTATTTGTCTGTATACTTCAAAATACATACAAATAAAAGTAGGTTGAGGAAAGATATTCTGAAGTCACCGCGCGTATTGTCACAGAGCCTCCCCCTTAAGTTCGGTCACCCTGACCGCACATCTGCACGCTCTGTGGCTTCCAAGAATTTCAAGTCCTCCTTTGCATAACTGCCCATAAGTTTTCTGTTTCCAGTATTCTTTATGGCAGTGGGAATTCCTGCACTCTTCTGCAGATATCCCATGTCCTTTCATCCAGGATAATTCAATACTGTCATTGATCCTGGTATTGAGCGGGTATTCCAAGCAGTCGCTCGGTAATGTCCCTTTGTCCGGAGGTTCCTCCTTCCATCGGATAATCAAAGATCCATGCTTTGTCAACGGGACTCCTCTGCGCCGTTGACTGACAACCTCTGTGCGTTTCCTCACTTCGCCGCGCCCTATCTGCCTAGGGAGAGCCTGAAGTGTTCTACTAAAAGGATTAGTCGCAGTCAGGTTGGATCCTCTTCTCCTCAGTCCACAGATTCTTGAAAAATCTGTTACAAATCTCCTCGTAAAACGAGGGATATCTTCACTCATCGTGATCCCACGAAGTGAGTGCCACTTACCACTAACAATTTCTCTGAAGAGTGTCCATTTGTTGCCTCTTCGGTGCATTCTGTCTTTACCTTGCCAAATTGTCAGGGTGGAATTGTCTTTAACAAAGATCAGTCCAGAGTCAGAGCACGAAATCAAGTCAGGGTATACAGTCAAATCAGTAAAAAACTCAGGGTTTCCTGTAGACTGTAATGTGGAATTTCTTCGCAATGAAGTTTCCACCATCAGCTGAGATACTCCTGTCACTTCCTTCGAAGCAAAGAGTACTACAAGACCAGAATGTTGGGGTTCCCTACTATTCATGGCTTGTTCTGCTTCAGGGTCCTTCATCAGAAGTATCCCTGTCGCCCCAGCTGTACAGGGCAGCAGAGACAAGTTGTCTCCCTGCTCACGAAAAGTATTTTCTTCTTCGATAATGGCAAACACTTCTGTCTGTCCATTATCGACGTGCACAGGCCTAGCAGAATTGTCCTGTTTATGTCGAGTCTCTAAGATCGTCAAGACGTCCAGAGAACTCTCCTCCTCATCTGCTATTCTCACCTTGGTCTGGCTTTCATATGCACAGTCCAGTGAAAGCAAATCAGGAGGTGTGTTGCCGCCATCGCAGTCAACTCCTTTTGGTGTAAAGTCAGAACTAACACATTCCATTAGGCATGCGGCCGCATCCAAGGAAATAGGGGACACAGGTTCAGCGTTATTCCCTACATCAGTCTGCTTTAATTCCTCTTCTTGCATGAAGGGACCAAAGGGGATATGGGAGTTGGGTAAGTCTTTGCCCTCGTCCTCATTAATGTCTGGTGTGTCAGTCGAACCGCTATGTCTACGGTTACAACCGTTATCACGCTTGTCACTACTGTCAGGTTCGCTCTCATTTATCTCGTCTGAGGTAATGGGAGTAAGGGGTTCCAGCAATGTAGATCTGGTCCCTTTAGAAGATTTCTGCTTCTTGTTCCATCTTTTCCTTTTAGGCTTAAGAATGGAAGTTAAGGGGTCCAGCAATGTAGATCTGGTTATCCCTAAAGAAGAGTTCTCCTTGTTGCCTCTTTTCTCTGTAGGAATAAGAGGTGTGAGATACTGTCCTCCGGTTTTTATGTTTTCTTCCTTAGCTGTTGAGTTTGGCCAAGGAGTGCTCACCTCAATGGTTAGATAGTGGGCCCCCACCATATCTGCTTGAGTTTCAGCCTGAGGTAATGGTTTTTCCTCGCATATACTCGCAGTTTCCTCAACGCTAATGTTTTCTGCTTGCTGTTTTATCCTATCTTTTTCTGCCCTCTCAAGTAGCAGTTTTCGATGAATTTCTTCACTCTTACGCCGCATCCTTTCAGCAAATCCTTCCTGAATACACTCTATCTCTCTTTCTAATTCTTCTCTTATAAGCTGTATGTCTCTTTCATACTCTACTTTCCTTAGCTGTTCCTCTCTTTCATACTCTTCTTTCCTAAGCTGTTCCTGCCTATTATATTCTTCTATCTCCAACTGGCGCTTTTTCTCTGCAGCATTACGGGCAACCATATAATCAAAAGTATCCATCTGGCATTTAATATATGTTTCTAACTGTGCCCCTACTCTACCCTCAGCTATCCCGAATTTTCCTTACATCTTTTTGGTACTCGGTACGTAAGTCCATTCTATCTAGAGATAAATGTAATACTTCCCCGAGGTAGGATAAGAAGGATATGTCAGAGCAAAGTACAGTGAACTTGGCACCAGAGGAGACTATGACAGCCGCACAAAGATGTATATGATGCAAAGCAGCCTACCAGATTAACAGCCTATAGAATACTATAGCAGCAAAAGGATAAACCTATAAATGATCAAAGCGATGTTACACTCAGTCACTAATTATTAATCTCAATGATATGATGTCAGCATGTAATATGTTCTACAATCTATATCAAATGAAATATGCAAGCAAAAAAAAAATCATCAATTCATCAACTCTAACTAAGCACTATAGATTAAACATTAATCAATGTTCATGAAATGTTCAATGATAGACAGTTAACTCATATGATTTCATCAATTAATTACTTTTACAGTTATTATAATTCTAATCTTCCCAGTTACCAATTACTAAGTATGATTTTAGTCTAAGAACTGGATGAAGAGTTAAAATGAAATCTATGAAATTAAACTTTTTTTCGTTAGTCTAGGGTCTGCCGGGTTTGATCGCTGGCGGGACGCCACTTGTGTCAGGTTTTAATTCTAGAGAGCGACACAATTGTTACGTGATGTTATAAGACGAGATACCCAATTGTCCCGAGACGAGATCCCCAATTGTCGCTGGGTTCGCCGCGAGATCCCCAATTGGCGTAAATACACTGATATAGTGAGGGTGTGGGTTTGAACCTTAACAATGCCCACCCACGTGAGAAACTGGACTATTATCTAAGCTATGTTGATCCTAGACAGTCCTGGATAGCCAAGAAAAAACAGCGAGTGGCTCGTTCCATGAAATGAAAGTTGCTGTACTTGTATCCACAGGAGAAGGAGAAGGGATAGATAGATATCTGGATACACCCACTGTGATATAATCCAGGTGCTCAGTTAACCCCTGCGACTGGTCTCCTCTCCTGGCATTACTTAAAAGCCCCCATCAAGTGATTTAAATATTTGTTAGCTGAAGTAAACTAATATGCACAAAGACACTTGAACCTAAGTACACAATTTACTCAACTATGTTGTAACAACATCAAACATGATTTATTTGAATAAATCGAAATTAAAATGAACTTGTTTAGGCTAGTAGAGTTGGAATGATGTGAATGATGATTTGTACATATAAGGTCCTAGTAGGAGAAGTAACCGTCAGGACAGTTCTCGGCTTGAGACCCTGCCTATCTTTTCCAGTTTGTCGTCCTCACTGCTTTCTGCAGGTCGTTACACTCGACGGTCGGCAAATAATGGATGCCTACTAGTCCCTGCCCAATGTGGGAACTGGAAAAATGAAACCACGATGCCAAAAGTTCTGTCTCAAGCTTAGGTTAAGCCCAACAGATGGCATGTGCTAGACAGGATCTCATTTACCAGACCTAGCGTTCACCACTTTATAACTTTTATCAAGCTCCTCCTACATTACGCCTAAAATCCTTTTCATTCACGGGTATCACAGCTCCTCCCTGTGGGTAAGTTTATTCGCTGTCAGTCAGGGCTGTACAACACTTATTTAAATTCCCACGCTAGGATCTCCTGGTTCAATTAAGCTGGTCAAAGCTAATAGGCCAAGTCACACCTCTGGCTACTTCACCTGCCATCACAATAAAATCAGACGGTGTCAATTCTTCTGTTAACACTTTCTGCTCACCATGTCAATAGTGACCGTCGGACCTGCCGTCGAGTTAGGTAACCTCAGGGGGAATTAAACACAATTAGCCGGAGTTAGCTGCTCCTAAAAGTCTGGCTAGGAGATGAAATATCTGACACCAACAGATGGTGTGCAAATCTCCAGTCAGTAAGTCTGCTTGGTCAGTCTTATCTCTGTACCTCAACACTTAACGTCTGGGAAAAAGTTTTAGTGTGTGATATCGCCAACATCCCAGGAGAATTAAATGCTTGTTCATTTCGCCTACTTAGATTAAGGATGTATCCAAATCCCCATTTGTCTGTATACTTCAAAATACATACAAATAAAAGTAGGTTGAGGAAAGATATTCTGAAGTCACCGCGCGTATTGTCACTAGATAGGTATGCATACACAGATAAGTATGAAAAGACGTGCAAACGTGTAGTGTTGTCTGTGTGTATGAATACTCGAGTGCATATACGCATACACATAGTTGTGTGCGTGCATATTCTTCGGGGATTCATACTCAAAACCATCCGATTGCACATCATGCATACAACATACACAAGACCGGTAGGACTCACAACAAGATAAACTGACAGCAAATAGGAAAAACAAGTGAATCGATACTGACAGGACTAGATCACTTAACCACGAATACCACCCCATCAGTGGGCTGATAGCAAAGGTTGGTGATGTTATACGTTTAATCCTGACTAAAGGCTACGCTAGAATCCAGTAAGACGGCAACGACGAGAAATGACTGAGTGGCCACCCGCCCCCTTTTCCCTCACCCTTCCCTGCCTCTGTCAATTGTACTATGTTAAATCCCTTACCCTATTCCCAGAGAGAGCACTTGAGTTCGATACCCAACATGCCACAGCAATTCTCATCGCCGAACAATTGGATCTGAAAGCCTGAGCTGGGTTCTCCAAGTATATGGTATTTACGTACACCGGAGTCTAGCGGCCAACTCAAACTGACACAGCCGGATCAAACACAATAACAAAAGACGAATAGACCCACTTTGAGGCTCAGCATAACATTTCACACACAAATCCACGACATGACTAACCCGTTCTTATTGCAGAAAGACAACTTTGAGACCACTATGGTCACACGCGCAATATTTTTACATTTCGGAACTATCCAAAATCAAAAACTGTTTTCAGTACATTTTGGCAAAGTAAAATACTCAAAATTTTAAAACTATAAATGGCTATCCAAAAGACGTTATGTAGAAAAGCTCGCTTTCCTACGAAATACGCCTGGCCAAATCAGAGAGAGATGACACCAAGAGGAAACACCAGATAAGAAAAGGAAAGAAACGCACAGCTAACAACAGGGTGGAGGACGAGCGGTCTGACTCGGAACGAAGTATTAAGCCCAGAGACGGCGCAAAAAAAAAACAAATTAAGTCACGAAAGTGACGCATTTAACCCAGACCACAAATATAGGCGGAGACTGTTAGCAGCCTCGGCTAGCTAGCACCAGTCTGAAAGTGGTCGACCTTTTAATATTTTTTTTTAAGTAATCGGAATTTATTTTATTTACAAACTAATAAAAACGCTCCATCGGATAACAAAGCATTTATTTATAATGAGTATATATGTATGTGTGTGTATATATATATGTATATATTGCAGATGTGAACATCCTTGCTGGTCTCATCTTGGCATCCTCCATAAGCTGTACAGCTCCGGCCTATACAATTATTCTAACCAGTGTTGAAGAACATCTGTCGTGGATTCGTCTAAATATCCAGGATCATAGCAACGGCACTGCAGGAGTAATCCCGGGCAGAACAGGTTGATAACTCGGTCTTAGAATATTATCGTCACGTGTTAGTGAATGATGAAAGGCCTGATAGTTTACATATCTCCAAGATCGTTTATTTAATTCTGCATGTTCGGTATTAAAAGCGAAATTTCTATTATACTCTACTAAATAAACTGCAGTGAACATGTTCTTTAACGTATTTCGCGACGTTGTATTATCGTCACCCTTATCATCATCATCATCTTCATCATCATCGCCATTGTTATCGTTATCCACAATCTGCGATCTCTAATAGCATCTACAAGCTCCTTTAGTACAATGGCAAAAAGCTATCAAAAATTGAAACGCTTTTTCTTGCCCAGTCTCTTTTCCTACAAATCTTTCCAGCCACCGCACATGCTTCAGTTTCATACTTCTGTTAACCTCGCCAACAAATGTCCAGTTGTCATTATAATTGTTGTTTGCCTGTGTAGAATAATAACTCACCCAAATGTTACTTTACGTCGATGAAACATTTTTTCACCTAAATGCAATATATATCACACACAGGTCTCTCATGGGTGTATGAAATAATATTTCACCATAATGTTATGTATCTATGTATAGAATAATATTTCACCTACATGTTACGTATGGCCGCATCCAATACTATTTCAATATTAGCGCAGCTAAATACTACTTAACTGTGCATAGAATAATATTTCCGGTACATGTTACCTTTTTGTGTATGGAATAATGTTTCACCCACTTGTTATCTATCAGTGTATGCAATATTATTTCACCCACTTGTTTCCTGTCTGTGTGTGGAATAATACTTAACCCACATGTTATCTGCCAGTGCATGCAATATTATATCACCCACTTGTTTCCTGTATGTGTATGCAATAATACTTCACCCACATGTTATCTATTAGTGTATGCAATATTATTTCACCCACTTGTTTCCTGTCTGTGTATGCAATAATACTTCACCCACATGTTATCTATCAGAGTATGCAATAATATTTCACCCACTTGTTTCCTGTCTGTTTATGCAAGAATACTTCACCCACATGTTATCCATCAGTGTATGCAATAATATTTCACCCACTTGTTTCCTGTCTGTATATGGAAAAATATTTTAGCCAAAAAATACTAGACCGTGTAAGTGTCACGAGACGATAATGTCATGTGTCATTATTAGGGTTACCCCTGATAATAATAGACACACTGAAAGGATTTAAGGCAGAGATGGCGGCTCGTGTTGGTCTAGAAGTACGCCGCAGCTCCAACGACCATCCATCATCACTTCAGGGATGATGCAGCTTAAATTAAAGGCTCCATAGAATAATACTATTCTTAGGCAAAACTTGGCTAGACTTCCTCACTATTCGTTAGTCCCCAGACTGGATATGATCTCCATACCAGTAAAACAAACACAGTAGAAATAGGAACAATGTCTTCAGACACCAACAACAGTAAGTTCCATTTAACAAAGCATGATGTAATAATCGCAAACAATTGTAAAGAATAGGAAATAATAGAGAAGAATTGACAAAAACAAAAGAGGTATCAAAACAAAGATCCACATTAGTCAAGAATGACCCCTTGTCTGCCAACAGTTACCGTATCATGGGACTGATTGAGCAACGGGGTAAAGGTAACTATAGGCTTTAAGTGTCCGGATGGCTGTACCCTCAGTTCACAAAGGAAATACTTTCATAGAGAGGAACAGAGATGAACCCGCTTCTCTCCTCAGTCCATATGGAGAAACTCCTCAATCACAAGTATGAACATGTTGATAGGTGACAGTTTTTGAACCAAGTGATGAACGAAGTGATCACTGGATATATATCTGCTTAACATTCTTAATGTTCCTCTATAAAGTATGTTGGTATCACAGTAAAAGGGCAAGATATCCTAAAGTTAAAATGTTCAAGGAACAAGGTTCTAAAATATAAATATGTTCAGGCTTAGGCTGGTGGCACCACATGTATCTGGATACTAGAAGCTGGTAGATGCCAGTGTAGATTGCATCTGATTGCTGATGGTTGGTTAGGGAGTGTTGCTGTACCCAATTGGATCTAGTGGACTATGATCCTAATACTTCTATTAGAGAGGTCAGTATATATTCAACGAACGCAATGGAAACTTGTGTAAACAAACCAGTAAACACTGTGTTCCATGTACCCTCACCACACATTTAGACATAAATTAGTTTCAAATGCTCAGATATACACTGATAGATAACACGTGGGTGAAATATGATTCTATACACAGATAGGTAACATGTGCCGGAAATAGACCTGACATGTCCATATTTAAAAGGGTCCTCTAACAAATAATGAAAGCGGTGTCTTTGCTCTGCCACATACTTCACTGGGAATTGCACTAAGCTGCACCTGCCAACCATAAGAGTAAGACTGCCCAGTTCCTTTCCATTATAGAATCCTTACACTAATACAGGCACACCCTGAACATAGGACTGTTCAGACAGGAAGAACTTGAAAGGCGACACACAACAAATGTTGGTGCACCAACATAAACAGCTAAGCCTCAGACTCACCCCCCCCCTCCCCCCGGGTGAAAACAGCGATTGTCAAGCCGAAGAATACGATTGACTATATTCTTGCCAATAAAAAAAGCCAAACCAACAAAGGCATTCATAGGATATGGCATATAAAGCAAGGCGAACGTAATATTTGATACAGATGATAATTTCTTTTACCAAACAATCTTTTCCTCCATAATTGTTAGCCCGAAAGTTGTCACCATCCCAGTAATCCTGTTAAAAACTTCTATTATCCATAATCTTCTTACCCCTGAATGCAGGTTGGATTATCCAGTTGGGTTGTCTTCTAAATTTGAGTACAGTGACTGCCGTACCCAGTCCGTGGTCCATAACTCCACCCGTCTAAGCGCAGCAGCAGGGAAATATGACATCACTAACTAAATCATATTACAATTTTACCCATGCTCCTCTGAAGTTCCTGGTCGAAACTGTCACTTTCAAACAAATTTAAATGCAAGTTGACAGAAAAGGTGTTTTACGTTTGCTGGCCTTGGGAAGTGAATCTCGAATGCCGCGATGAATTCAAAAGTCTCCTAAGCCAAAAGCATAACTCACTCCCAATAGAATTAGGATTGAACCGAGTACTTTCCATACACCTTTGACTAAGCTAAGCTAGTTACGTATCCTTGACACGACAATGCAGAACAAACCGCCTCATTTGTCGGTTGTTTGCGTTTAAATAGGCACTTCTACGTTCCGAAGTCTGCCATTCGCCTGTGTCACCGGGGCCCTCACAGGAAGCAAAGAATAGTAACACTGCACACTACTAGGGATGTCGTAAGGATAGGATTGGGCTTGAGGTTGGTTACTCCATCCTGTAAAAAAATAACCTTGGGTGCACCTTTCTACGGCAGCTCTCTATTACAACCAACTTTTTGTCACAGCAGGGACTTATCTTATCTGACTGCATTCATTGTGACCTTCTGGTACCCAGTCATGCCGACCTTGTGTGCATAGGGAATCCCCTGTGTAAGTGTCTCAAATATTTGTTGTCATTCAGCCTGATTCTCCCCATGTCTCTCTCTCTCTCTCTCTCTCTCTCTCTCTCTCTCTCTCTCTCTCTCTCTCTCTCTCTCTTCCGATGTTTATATATATATATGTTTATATAGTGTGCGAGTGGCAGGTAATGAGTGTATGTTTATGTATAACTAGCTGTACCCGGCCACGCGTTGCTGTGGCCCAGAATGATGAAATGGAGAGGAAAGAAAATAGCTCTCAGCTAACAGTGTCTGTCATTCCCCCCCCCCCCCCCCCCCATCCACCAATAATATCTCCCTCTCCAAAGGATTGAAAAATCATTACCTGGCGATATTATTAAAATTATTTAAGAAATGAGAACTTTAAAATAATATCTAAAGCTCTCTCAGCTAACAGTGTCTGTTATAACCCCCCCCCCCCCCCCCCCCCCTCGACGCAGTGATGTCTCCCTCTTCGAAGGATTGAAAAATCATTCATGACGAAATTATTAAAATATAAATAGTAAAGAAATGAGAACTTATAAATAATATTTTTAACTCTCTCAGCTAACTGTGTTTTGCATAAACTGCCCCGCCCCCACCCCTTTTCCACCAATCATATCTCCCTCTCCGCAGGATTGAAAAATCATCACCTGGCGAAATTATTAAAATAAAAATAGTTAAGAAAAGAGAACATTAAAATAATATTTTAAGCTATCTCAGTTAACTGTGTCTGATATAACCCCCTCCTGCCCCTTTCCCCCTAGTTATATTTCCCTCTCCGAAAGTTTGAAAAATCATCACCTTGCGAAGTAATATCACCTTCACCTAAGGATTGATAAATCATCCATGGCGAAATTTAAAAAAAAAAAGATTTAGTTAAAAAATCATCACCTTGCGAAGTCATATCACCTTCACCTAAGGATTGATAAATCATCCATGGCGAAATTTAAAAAAAAAAAAGATTTCGTTTGAAAATGATAACTTTAAAATAATATTTTAAGCTCTCTCAGCTAACAGTGTCTGTCATAACCCCCCCCCCCTCCCCCTTCCCCCCGCGTAAAGGATGAAATACTTAAAACTATACTACCGAAGACTGGAGAGTTTAGGTGAGATATCGTAGCCTAGCTGTAAACCACAACACAACGTGCCAACGGCCCCCTCGGGGGCGAACGAAGAATACCCGTGACTTGACCATTGAGCATCACGTCGCCGCTGTCGCATGCTATCTGTAAACCCCAAAACCGAAAAATGTGTACATATCGCAGCCTAGCCATAAACCACAGCACAACGTACCAGCCACCCAGTAAGGGGCTAAAAAAATATTATATCACCTAGTGGGGAATCGAACGCGGATCAACCGCATGATAAGCAGAAAAGTTACCAGCTGCGTTACCTAACACTGGAACAGATAGTGGAAATGGGATTATATAATAATGCAAAGTTCATTAAGAGCTCAGCAGCCAAAAAATAGCCAATCAATTCGGGCTGGCAACGAAACAAATAATGATTTGACCGCTGCTGGAG